CTCCATCCAATCCTTAATCTTTTCCCATACACGGTCTCGGAGATATTTGAACGTACAATTCTTTGAGTGACCAACATCTGTTGGCATACCCAGGTAGCGCTCACTCAATGATTCATTCTGGACCTACAAATTGTTCTTTATAGTCTCTCTCAACTGTGCCGGGCAACCCTTACTGAAGAAAATCGAAGATTTATCATTGTTGATCCTCTGTCCCGAAGCGTTACAGTAAATATCAAGTAGGTTTGACACCTGAACTGATCCTTCCCCACTGGCTTTGAATAGCAACAGGCTATCATCTGCAAACAGGAGATGGTTAACGGTAGGAGCCGTAGGAGCCACCTGAATACCTGTCGGAGACGACTGAGAACTTGATTTAAGGAGGCACGAGAGGCCCTCTGTTGTGATCAAGAACAAGTAGGGGGAGATTGGGTCTCCCTGCCGGATACCTCGTGTAGGCTTGAACGATTCTAGCCTTTCTCCATTGAAACACACCGAAAATGAGACTGAAGAAATCATGCGCATGACAATATCTATCCAGTGGCCGTCAAAACCCAACTTTGTCATGATCCCTACGGGGAACGAACGTGTGTCGAGCTGCTCGCTGTGGTCGCCGTTTAGGCCCCTTTGCGTGCGCATGAGCCCAATCACGTGGCCCATTAATAAATACCGTCGGATTCGCGCCCTGGCCGTGAGTGCGCGCGTTTTGTTAGTTTGTAAGAGAAAAATCACGGACGTCCATCCATATTGATGTCTTCGAAAGCCTTGGTGAAGAGCCCTGCACCAATCATACGATTTTTGTACCAATCAAACTTATTGGACATCGAATTAGAGACATTATTATACTAGATTTATAGCGGCTGCTACAAATAAGTCGGATGATTTTCTAAAACATCATCCGCCTAGCCTGCCGTTTGATTTGGCGTTGGTGGCCGTTCGATCTCACCACGGCAGCTTGCATCTTCTCTCCTCTGGCCGGTTCAGTTCGACACCCCCACATCTCTTCGAAGACGGCGATGTTCTCCGCTGTGGCAAGGAGGCCCTGCTGCTGCTGCATGTGTGCTCGCCGAGACACGAGTCCGAGCTCTCCCTCAACTCCGGTGGCCGCCGCCGCCGTGCTGCGTTGCAACGCCACTAGTGATTTCGAGCAGCTCCCATGGCAGCTCCATGCAGCAACTCAATGGCAGCGCCGCAGGATGCTCACGGCATCCGGGCGTGCTCCATTGCAGCGCCGGCAAAGCTTCAACGGCCCGGCGGCGCTTCATTCAAACTCCGGTGCGCTTCGTTGCAACTCCGGTGGCGCTTCAATGCAGCTCCAGCGACGCTTCGTTGCAGCTTCGGCGACGCTTCACTGCAACTCCGACGGCCGCATCGATGCTTCATCGCAACTCCGACGAGCCCCCTCTGCTTCACCGGTTGCTACAACCCATCGTCTAGCCTGCATCACCACACCGTCGGCGCCACCGCGCTTCACTGCAGCTCTGGCGGCCACCGCACTGCTTCGTCACAACACCTCTCGCCTGAGTTGTGTTGCAGTGGGCGTCGCCGGCGTGGTTGCTTTGAAGCATCAGTTACCGACGACGGTAAGGACCATGGATGCAGCAGCGCGCGCGGTCCCTCCAATATTGCAATAATGGTGATGCTACCGGAGTTGCAGCGCCCGCCGCCGGCCACTCCTCGCGGCCACCATCGCAGCGTGCCGCTCTCTATTGCATCTCAGGGAGCCGCGCGTGACGCTCAGAATTGCAGCTCCAACGGCCACACGCAAATGCTCCCCGTCACATCAGCAGCAGCTCCGACGCCCATCGAAGCTTCTCTTGATTCATGGCAGCGTGGTTGCCGCACGCAGCGGAGCCCCATGCAGCAGCAGCACTCCGTCGCCCGTCGCCAGGGGTGAGAGAGGGCAGAAAGAGAGGGAAGCTCTGGGTCATATATAGGAGAGCGAAGCGCAGGCATGGTAGTGGCACAGGAGAGAGGGATCTGCGGGAGGGATGCGCGAGGAAGACAACGCATCGGCAGAAAAGAAATGTGTGGTTGTGGCTTCCCTGTGTGGATAAGACGGAGACGGGGAAGCGGTGCATGGGGCCAGCAAGGGACGCGTGTCGATCGCTGGAGGAGGCTTACGTCTCTTTGTTTTCAGCCGGATTAGAACAAACCTTTTTCTAGATTTATTTGCATGCTATGTATGGATAATTTATGCTATTTTCTTTCTAGACTTTTCATGAGTTTGCATGAGTTTCGTCCGTTAGGTCAAAACCCGACTTGAAATGTATGCAGGTAGCCGGCCATCATCCATGTCCGCGAACGGATACCGAAGCAAATTTATAGATCAGCGTTGAAGATGCCCTTACAAAATTGCAGGGCCTAGAGTCTGTTTGGTTTATAGCCCGGAGGTGCCAAGCCAAAAAATTGGTGTTGACCCAGCTTTGTATGTGCGTTTGGATTGATGCCAATAATTTGGCTCGCCCAGGCTTCCTCATATCTTCCCGTTCAGTTTCACGCCAAATCTTTGGCGAGCTGTGGGCGGCCAAATCTTCCGCCAATATTTTGGTCTGCCAATATTGGCAGGGCATACAGGGGCGGCATCCAAACAAGCCCTAGACTACGTGGCTCCACGGCGTGCACGCGATGGCCGTGTGGAATCTTTGTGACGTGGACCATTCGCCGCTCGACGATCGAGCACCAAGTACTGCGTCGCCTTTTAGATGACTATAGTTGGATAACGACCATCGTCCTCGACTAGGCTGCGCGTGCTAGGCCTCCGTGGAGATTTCCTCGACTTTTCTTGTCTCATGCGGCTCGATCTGCCGTTTGTTTACGTGCCTGCAGCCTGCAGGTCGAGTGCTGTGTTCTGGCTGAACACAACACTCGACACTTGGACAGCGACCTGCGCAGCTATGCTCTCGCTAGTCTGGACGATGAAAACGCTAGCTTGCGGCCGGCTGGCCTTGGTTTATCTTTTGTTTCTTCCAGATAGCATTCGGGTAACTGGAGATATATATATATATATATACAGGATGTCTGCGGATATACTTTAGGGGAGAATCCCGAGAACACCGGATTCAGCAACAAGGCACCAAGCAGCTGTATATTGTAGTGGGCTCGCTGGAGTCGAGTCGACGACCCGTGCGTGTGTGGTAGTGTTCGTTTCGCTGCTGCTGTAATGGCGAACGTCGCGGAGCACCGCGTACAGATGCCGGCGGATCCCCCCGCTCGCAAGGCCGCCGCGGCGCCGGAGATGGGGCTGAATCGCTTCATTCTCTTCGTCGTGCTGATCGAGAGGCTTGGCAATGCCTTGGGCACGCTGGCCTTCACGTGGGCGACCGTCGTCCTGCTCGGCGGCTATCCCAGCGACCTCCGCACGGATTTCTGGGTCTCGACAGCCACAATTTTTCTAGAAGCCTTGAGGTGAGTATGCAAAATAAACTCTGCCGTTACTTCCTATTGGATTTGTGTTTGGACTTGTAGCTAGCGTAAGCTTAGGCGCTTAAGTTAGGGCCATTTGCATTTCTGTCCCTAACTCGAACCACCTAATCAGATATACCCCTAATTCCAAAGCCTGCTCAAAAATGCCCCTCCGCCGTCATGTGCCCTTATAGAAATGCCCCTCCGAGCCGTTTCCGTCCAGTCAAGGCTGTTTGACCGCTAACGTGCCGTTTATTTGACATTTTTGCCCCTCCTTCCTTACATCTGGGCCCAACTAACCAGTTCACTCTCTCTCCCCTCTTTCTTCTTCCTCGCGACGACAGGGGCATTTTTGAGCAAGAACTGCATCGGGCATTTCCGCCGCGGTCGAAGAGAGAGGGGCAGGTCGGGCACGGCGTGGTGAGCGATGGGTACGTCGGGCACGGCGGGCATGTCTTCTACGACCTCGTCGGTGGCCGCCAATGTAAGTTTCAAGGTCGATTTAGGTGATATTGCGGAATTAGGGTTCATCAATTTGGGTTGCCCTTTGCTGATAGGTTGATGGCGTCGGGATAGTTCAGTTTCAATCGGAGTTCTACATCCACGATCTGACATTCTATGGCCTTGAGGTTCGGTCGTCGCGGCGGTGCCCTGGCCACGGGCTTATTCCTGCTCGTCGTGTCGCGTGGGGAGGAGCAAGCTCCGGCAGAAGGTATCTCGGTTGCCCTCTTGATGTAAGTGTTTTTGCTTTTGAATGCTTGACTTGATTCTGCTCTTTCCCCTCTTTCTAATTCGATTATTGATTTTGCAGCTTCCTGATGAATGTGATTGGTTGTCTGGATTGACCCGCCATCGACCGAATGCATCAGTGTGGATAACAAGACCTGGTGGGTGTCCTATAAGCTCTCTTAAATTCTGGAAAAACCAAGTCCAACTCTCTATATTTTCACACTCTACAACTCCATATGCAACTGGGAAGATCCAGTTGCAAGCATCCACAGCACATGCACTAACTAGTTGCCCTCTAAATCTACCATTCAATGCAGTGGCATCTACTGCAAGATAAGGCCTACACCCATTCAAAAACCCTTGCCAGCATGCTTTGAAAGAAACAAATACTCTTCTAAAGCACTCCTTCTGTCTACTCTTCCCATTCAGTTTGTAATGTACAGTGTGTTTATCAATGCTAACTACACTGCCAGGAGATGCTTTCTCCACTTCTGCCTTGAAGGTATACAATAACTGAAAAGAGTCAACCCACTTACCATAGATATTGTCAAGTGCCATTTGCTTCCCATAGAATACTCTCATATATGGAACTACCAGGCCATACTTCTTCTTCAAATTTTTCTGCAATTCTGTTGGTCCCACTTCTGAATCCTCTAAAATCCAAGTCTTCACAGCATCAGCAACCCATCTACTCTTAGCTGACCTCAATCTCTTCCTCCTGTTCACACTGGGACATGTATGAGCAGTCTTGTTCACTTTAACCTGCATTCATGATAGTTCAGAAACATGTCAGAACCTATGTGTTGCAACAAACAAACAAAATACAGTATAAATGTTGCTAACTACAAATGCACTGTTAGTTGCTATATTTAATAAGCACAATGCACTATTAATACCTGAAACAGTGTGTTGTGTCTCATTAAGGAGGCATGCATCCTCCATTGACACCTCTTATAAGCACAATGCACTGTCAACCTAGTACTGTCACTCTTGTCTATCACAAATTCACTTTGAGTCTTTATTGAGAAGGTTGCAAGGGCATTTCTACAGTCTACTGCACTGGAAAATATTGTTCCCTCTTTCAAAGAAGGATCATCTCTATTGTATTGCACATCTGGTCTTTCCTCATCAGATGTTTCAGAGTACCCCATGTCATTATCCTCCTCTTTCTCATCTTCACCTGCCTCACCAAACATGCCTTCAGGGGGTGGAACATAATCTTCCCCCTCGTCATCTTTCTCCTTGCCCTTCTTCCTTGTTACAAACTGTGGAAACAACCTTTCATCCTCATCATCACTTGGCCAATCATCTGGTAGTCCCTCTTCAGTGTATGGGTCACCTGAATCTTTATTATGAGAGGGAGTTGCATGCCTAGGAACTTCTACAGTAGGTGTTCCTGGTGCCTGCATGGAACTGCTGCCTCCACTATGAGTTGTTGCTTTTTTGCCCCTTGATTGGCTAGTTCTACCTTTACCTGTAGACCTAGACTGAGATCTTGTTCCTCTGCTCTCTGGCTCTCCTCTCTCCCTTTGTATGACACTGATTTCTAGTTTAGCAGGGAAAGAATCATGTATTGCAAACATGATACCAAGCTCATCATCACACTGGACAGGGACCCATGCTGATTTGTCAATGTCCCAGTACCTGAATTCCACTGCATCGTATAGACCCCATGGATATTTAGCAGCTATGGCAGATCTAAACTGATCGAAAGTCCATTGATTGTCAGCAACAAAAGGAAAAGAGAATCCTGCGTTGGATGCTTTTGTGCCAGCACTAGCTAGAAGTGTGGTTTCCATTCTACAATCCATCCCAACTGCTCTATCGGGGTCCATCCTACGATGACCATGGAAAACAGACAGATCCCAACGCCATGAGCACTATGAACTAGGTCAACAAATTAAACTACAAGAACAAATCGAACTACAAACGACATGAGACTGCATCAGATTACAAGAGATACTTACCCCGCCGAAGCATTCTTCTGTAGCTGCAGTGTGCTCCCTCGTTCATCGCCGCCGCAACTGCTGTCCCCATCCACCCCGTCGCCTGTGTCTCCTTCACGCCGTAGCAGAGGGACACAAAGTCAAATCCGAAGCTCCACCATGGCCGCCATCAGTGGATCGAGCCTTAGGAGTTGGATCGACCGGATCGAGCAAGCTAGGGTTAGGGTTACGGCGGGAGGCGATTTGGGGGAAAAGAGAGAGGGTGCGGCTCGGGCGAGAGAATGAGAGGGGGAAAGAGTGAACCGGTGACCTGGGCCCAGTTGTAAGGACGAAGGGGCAAAAATGTCAAAGAAACGGCCGCTTACCAGTCAAACAGCCTTGACTGGACGGAAACGGCACGGAAGGGCAATTCTATAAGGGAACATGACGGTAGAGGGGCATTTTTGAGCAGGCTTTCGAATTAGGGGTAAATGTGAGTAGTGGGTTCGAGTTAGGGACACAGATGTAAAAGACCCCTTAAGTTAACCATGTGCCATGGTCTTTATCAAGTGCAAAAACCCTCATGTTTGCGTCGCGTGCATGTAGTCACGTATGTAAGACGGTCACGATCAACATCACACTTTTATTTCGTCGGTGCGGATCTTACCATGCTTCTCTATTCTGACTAACCTCTCGGTCGATGTGCTAGACTGTAGAGGCCATCAGCTTCGTATGACTAACCTTAGAAGAATTTGTTCCAGTGCAACCATATATGTTCAACCTCGTGCTGTATCATCCCAGCACATCATTGTGCATTGCTTGACGTCCAGTAGAACATGATCTCCACATCACGCTCCAGACTCATCTGAGCTTTATGAGCACAATGATCACCTGAGGACAAGCACGACACCATCATGTCATCAACAACAATTGTGTGCCCTTATCGGCATATGTAGGATCGTGATTATGTTCTAGATGCGGGCGAATACACAATAATAAATTCGACCTTTTAGTTGGTCAATTTTAGCCTTTCTACCTCTAGTTGCTTAGGACAGCCTAAACAAGCAAGTCTACAAAAGAGTAAGAGCGCGGAAGTGAAACTTGCAAGTAGTAGAGAGATAGGGAAAATGAACAGCAAACACGGCGTGACAAATGCAATGATGTTTTCACGAGATTCTGATTGTTGGCAAAATCATGCTCCTTGCTGGTGAAGGTTCGAATGCAAAGTTTTACCCAAATGATAACGTGTGGCATGAAGTAACACCACCATCGCGTTTTTTACACTAAAGTTGTCATCCGAAAAAAACTGAAACTTGCCATCCAAATAGAAAGTTGTCATACTTTATAACTAAAGTTGCCATCCTCTTGTATAAACTTGTCATCAAAAACATCAGGGCGGAATTGCTTCGTGCTACACGTGTGGCATTTATCAGGGTCCAAGTTTTAGGCACACCAAGGCATCAACAAGGTCGATCACAAAGGTCCCACAAAGCCCCTTGCTGATCTATGCCACCATGTCTTGGTACGACCAAGTTCAAAGCCTAACTCAGGATTGATCATCACGAAGAAGGCGATCGGTGCTACTGAGAGATAGCAAATTTGTTCGAAGGGGCATACAAGTGACAGATCCGAGTGGCTCCACATAAGAGACACCATGATCTACCCAGGTACGGGCCCTCTGGGAGGAGGTAACACCCAGCTCCTGCTATGGGGATGCATTGCACTGTATGTCAAATCACAGAGGGAGTACAAAGTAGTAGTGCTACTTTTTGCACTCATAGATCAATTTTTTTTGTGCGGATCACAAATAAATGTATTCTATATGAAACTTTGCAACTTTGTAGTACTATTCCACATATACGTGTGGGATTCTATTAAATACGTATTTTTGTATAGAACCATTCGAGTTTCAAAATCTAGAGACCACTGGAAAAACGGGATTCGAAAGCAATTAGCGGACCGGACATGGACATAACATGCCCATCACTCAACCAGATTTTATTGTTCCATAGACTAAAAACAAAAGATATTATTGTTCCAAAGCAGATATGATTTCCCATTTTGCAAAGGGCCCAGAATGTGGGTTGCAAGCCTGCAAATTAGGTGATTTTTATCCTTGGCAAGCCGATCAAAACCATCTGAAATACTTTATTTACTCTAATCTGAAATACTTTAAACAACTGTTTTTTTTTTCAAGTTTTCACGTTGGACACTAGAAGACTAGAGCTGTACCAAAATCTTGTCAAGTACTCTACGGTCCCAAATTTCACAGCTGTTTGTTAAATTTTGATACAAGCATGTCGCAATCCAATTGTTGATTGGATATTTCTTTTTTTTTCTAACTATACCATATACAAATGTACTTCAGGATGTTTGGCCACAGTAACAGGCTGGATTACCAATTTTTCTTCCGCACGAGAGGTGCTTTCAGGTCTCTTGGCTGGAACGGGGTGATCTTGCTCATATACCTGTTCAATGTTCTGTTTAGCATTGATGATGTATGAGCCAAATATGAAGCAATACACATACTGACTTTGTCAGTGGCAGTACTTGTGATTGGCGCAATTCTATGTCCAGAAGCTGCAATCCCACTACGCCCCACGATATCATTATGGGCCCAATGGTTGCAATCCTACTGCTTTGTCCCTCTCTATTGTATAGGGGCGATGAAGATCTCAACATTCAAAGACTCAGCTCCATTGCCAAGTGCACAGTATTCTTGGTACTATTTGTGGTAGTGCTCCTACTCACAATCAGCAGGCTGCGGTTCCCAGGTACCATCAAGCTAGCAGATTGGACTCTTGGCAGCAAAATAGCATTTTGGCATCGAGTTATTCCAAACTTGTGCATGTTTGCTGCAGCAGTCATGTTGATGTTCTCCAATAATGTTTACACAAAATTTGGGATTATCGTATTCAACATATTTGCTCTAATTATAATGTCATTTGGCAACCTCCAGATTCCAGCAGCAGCGTTGCGCATTGGGCTGGCAGTGTGGCGTCTTATATATATATACCACAAGACTACTATAGTGACAATGAACAAGGCGATAAGACGAACCTTATGCGATCTCTCCAAATCTTTTATGTGATGGTGCTTGGTCAAGGAATACTCTATATTGTTGCTGGCATCTTGGATATCTTCTCATTCATTCTACGAAGATCCCTGATCCGTCGTATTGGATTTAGAGGTCCCCCAGGAGTGCAATATGTCAATTTGTACTACGCATATACCTTCGACAGATGCATGGAAGGTGCTATGCTTGCTCCAAAAAAGACCAACCTCATTACATTTGCAATCGATTCTTTAAAGTCAGACTCAGCCAAGATGCAACTCTATGGGCTTAAGATGCTACACAGCTTTCTGAAAAAGGAGCCCCTAAAGACTCAAGCCATATCAGAACTCACCACTTACACAAAGACAGTGACCTGCTTGATCAACATGTTGGGCTGGACAAGTGAAGTGGATAAGGATATTAGATCATTTACTGCGAAGGTCACAGCCGAGCTCGCGGATTACCTTCGAGTTATCCCTATCCCTGGGGCGGTGAAGCTCGTAGCCTCACTTTTGGACATTGTTCATGAAGAGAATATAAAGAATCCTCTTTTGGACATTCTTAGCATTGAGCCACAACAAGATAACGTGATTCAGCAAGTTCGCAGGAACAAGCAGACCTCCCCAGTGCTTAAATGGTTGAAACAGATGGCACTATACTGTTTGATTCCGAGAGAGGAGCCAGCTAACATGGATGAACAAAACATCCATATACTTAGATGCTGGAGACAGATTACAAAACGTTGGTCTGTTCCAGAGGAGCCATCAACCGACCCAGATCTCCTCCCTGTACAGGGCATGTTGATTCTTGAAAAGCTTGCTAGCTTTGATCTGGATAACTGTATAGAAATCAACAAAGCGACTGGCCTCATCTCAAAGATTGTAGAGTTCACAAGCAACAATATTGACATGACAAATATTAGTGAGACACACAAGACACAGCTGAAACGTTCATCGCTGAAGCTGCTGGCAAGACTTGCGAGTACTAAAGGGAAATTTGGTGTAACTTTGCGTCAGAAAATTGCAGAAAATCCCTTCCTTTGGAGCAACCTTACAGAAATCTGGGATGAGGGTGGGAGCAGCCAAGAACTTAGGATGGGAGCAGCAGAACTCCTTAGAAACCTTGCCGTGGATGAAAATATAGAGGAGATTGGGCACACCCGAGTAATCATTAGCAGGTTGGTGCATGCATTTGTCAGCAAAGGTGCACAGCTAAGTACAGATTCAGATCGGTTGCTACAAATGATCGCTGGGCAAGCACTAGCATTACTGGCAATGGAGAGTGAAAATAACTGTCTGATTATGTTAGCGGAACCAGGTTATGAATTCATGAAGGAACTCGCAGTTATGATCCAGGGTGAGAGGTACAGGTATGTAGCATCAAGCCTGTTGCAGAGTATATATGTGTATGATCGAAGTGAGATTCACAAATCAAACCTGAAAGAAGTCTCCTACATTCTGCGACGGGTGAGCCCTTCAAATTTAAACTAGAAGTGCAATGTTCGAGGCGGATTGTCCAACTTAATTTTTACACATGTTCTTGTAACCCTTTCTTTCTCACAATGTTTGGTGGAAAATTAGCACATACTCCCTCCGTTCCAAAACAAAGTGTCGTGCTTTTAGTTCAAATTTGAACTAAAACCACGACACTTATTTTGAAAAGGAGGGAGTACTTTTTTTTCTAACTGTGGACATCTCTTTGCAAGTGTGCATGCAAATGCATATAGGTGTTTGCTCTTAGTATTGATGGAAGTTTTATTTTCATGCCATGATATTTAGTAATCTGAATGTTCAAGATTCGGGTGGGCACTCCGAATCCGATGGTTCAGGCTGCAGAAAATAGAGGCCTCGTAACC